GAGCCCCCTGGGCGGGTGGAAGATGCCCCTGCTTATGGCAGGGGGTTGGGACCAGATGATCTGCAAGGTCCCTCCCAACCCAACCCATTCTCTGATTCCATGATTTCCTCGCCTTCCCCCAGTCTGGGAGACCCTCTCCTGCCCCATGGGGGATCCTGCCAGGACATCTCGACCCGACGCTATCGGGGTAGAAAGCCGCAGCCGTTCCACCCGCGGGACAGAGCTGATCCCCAGCTCCAGGGCTGATTTCCCGCACCCCCTCCCGCAGGTCGGCGCTGCTGGGCTTCGGGCAGCCCCCCAAGGACACCTTCTCCCCCCTTGTCATCTCCATCATGGCCGTGGCGCTGGGCACCCCCGTGGCGATGCTCCTGGTGGGCAGCTGCGTGGTCCTCGTTGCCCAGAGGAACCGCTACTCCGAGTACGAGCCCATCAACTGAGCGGGACGGTCCCTGCAGAGACCTCTGGGATCCTTCTTGTCGCCAGGACAGGCCCGCGGCTGCGGCAGGGGCTCCAGCGCCTGCGCTCCCCTCTCTGTGCTCCCCTCCGTCGCTGCGGTCCGGGCTCCGAGGGGATCGGGGCGACATTTGCAGCAGTTCCTGCCGTAACACGTCCCTCTGTCCCGCTCCCTCCCGCTGTCCGGATCCTGCGTCTGATCATGCTTCTTCCTCTGGATTTTCAGTCCGCAAAGGGAAGCGACGGGGGAAGTTGGTCAGGGTTGCCTTCAGCCGCGGGAAGATCCTCCTCCTCCTCCTTCAAGGGATCAAACCACTGTTCCCTACCTGCAGCCAAGCAGCAGCCGGGACCGGCTGTGCCCTGTCCTGTGCCACCTCCAGAGTCTCTCGGGTGGCTCCAACCCCGCAGCAGGGCTGCAGGACAGGGCTGGGGACCAGTACTCGCTCCTGCCGGCGCGCGGGGAGCCTGGCTGCTTCTCCCTGGGCTGGGGGTGTCCCAGAACGGCGCCGCTCAACCCAGCTGGGCTTCACCGACTCCTCAACCCCCAGCAGGCGCTTTCGGCTGTGCTTGGCCTCGGGGAGGGCCGCTGCTATGAGAGGGAATCCCAGTGCCGCTTCGCTGCAGGTGCTTGAGCTGCAGCCTTGCTCGGGTTTAGCTGCGGCTCTGCGGGGCTGGCAGCTGCTCGAAGCCACGGGGTAAGAGGGGCTGCGGCCGCTCGGGGGCTGCAGAGGTGCCGCGTCACTTGAGGGGTGCTGGGTTTCTGCGTTCTCCATCACCGAGTTGTCTTTGACCAAATAAAGTGGATTTCTACGAGCAGTTTGCTGTGGAAACGCTGCACTAGGGGCGAGAGCGAGGAGAGCAGCTCTTGGGCCTCGCAGGAATTAAAAGGGCAGGAGCCAAGGTACAAAAACACGCCTGGGAGAGGCCAGTGGTCTCCTGGGGTGCATTAGGAGAAGTGTGGGCAGCAGGTCAGGGAGGTTCTCCTCCTCCTCTGCTCTGCCCTGGGGAGGCCCCATCTGCAGTGCTGGGTCCAGTGCTGGGCTCCCCAGTTCAAAAAAGATGAGGAGCTACTGGAGAGTCCAGTGGAGGGCTACAAGGATGAGGAGGGGACTGGAGCATCTCTGCTGCGAGGAGAGGCTGAGGGAGCTGGGCTTGTTCAGCCTGGAGAAGAGAAGGCTGAGAGGGGACCTTAGAAATGCCTCTAAATATCTGCAGGG